CATGTTGATTTTAATAGTCTTGACGAAGATCTCAGCAATATTCCAGTTTTTGTCTCTGCTATTGATGAATCCGATGTATTAGAAGCATTGAAAAACATTAAGTCTAATTCTACGTGCGGTCATGACGATATTCCGGGTTTTCTTCTTTCAGACTGTGCTACTGCATTTTCTCGGCCTTTGACCATTCTATTTAATTTAATACTCAAATCTTCCTCCTTTCCTAATTTCTGGAAACTTTCTTTAATTACACCCATTTTTAAAAAAGGCAATACTCAATTGATTATAAATTATCGTCCTATCTCTTTACTCTGTAATTTTTCCAAAGTCTTCGAGTCTATTCTTCATAAATTCATACAATTTCAAGTACGCAATCGTTTATCGCACACGCAACATGGTTTTATTAATGGCCGCTCTACAGTCACCAACTTGTGCTGTTTTACTCAATTTGTATCTGATAGCTTTGATGCTAAACGACAGGTGGATGTGGTGTACACCGACTTTTCTAAGGCCTTCGACCAGCTTAATCATAATATTTTACTGTCCAAATTAAGTAGCATCGGTTTTTCTGCAAATTTAATTAAGCTTTTTAGGTCGTATTTGTCCGGTAGATCTCAGCGTGTGACATTTCATGGTTTTGAATCCGATCGAATTATTGTTACTTCTGGCGTTCCGCAAGGTTCTATTCTCGGACCATTACTTTTTGCAATCTTTATTAATGATATTACCAAAAATCTGAGTTCAAACGTGTTGATGTATGCAGATGATTTAAAGATTTTCCGACGCATTAATAACTTCGAAGACTGCCTAGAACTTCAAGATGATATCGACAAATTTCAAAATTGGAGTATATACAATCTCCTTCCCGTAAACGCTAGAAAATGTTACGTTATGTCCTTGACCAATAAAACTTCTAAAGTTTTGTATTTATACTCGATGTTTTCTTCCAGTTTGTCTCGAGTTGATTCATTTAAAGACCTTGGTGTCACGTTTGACTCTTCCCTTTCATTTGCCCCACACGTTTCCTTTATAGTGTCTGAAGCCGTTAAATGTCTGGGGTTCATTATAAGATCTAGTGGTTGTTTCAGTAATGGTACTACTTTAAAAAGACTTTATGTTGCCTTCGTCAGATCTAAATTGGAATATGCTAGTGTGGTTTGGGCCCCCGCAACTCAAATTCATATCCAGGCACTTGAAAAAATTCAAAGAAGATTCTTGAAATTTGTATCCTTCAAATTAGATGGCGTTTACCCACCCAGAGGAATTCCGCAAAATGTTCTTCTTGAAAGATTCGGCCTCATCGATCTGGATAGAAGACGCACTAACGCGTCTTTGTGTTTCTTAAAGAAAATTTTTAATCATCAAATTGACTGTCCTCAACTTCTTAGCCAACTTTACATCAGCATACCAAGACCATCCTTTCGTCCCGAGAATTATCAATTTTTCTATCTTCCAACGCCACGTATTGACATCCAGAAAAACTCACCGTTATACCGGATGTGCGCTAACTATAACGAGCATAACGATTCCTTCAGATTGTGTTAAACAAACCTATCTTCTATGAGAAGCAGTGGTAATTGTGGCCGCCTGTAATTTAGGTAACTATTTTTTTTTTTTTCTTTTTCAATCTGTACTAGTTGGTCTGTAATTGGGCTTCAAGTCTGTTGACCAACTTCATTCAAAGTGTTTGGACGTAAATTCCTGGTTATTCACAGAGCCGAGCTCCAATGTCGCGCGCGAGGAGCCGGTCAAATTTGTTTCCAGCCTCGGCTGTGAAAGTGTGTCGCTTAAGTCAATAATAATAATAATAATAATAATAAAATTTTGGTAAATCGTAACTGTCCTAACACTAAATTTAAAGTGCGCTGAAAAACAGCTGGCGCATTCATAAGCCCAAAAGGAACGCGCAAAAATTCGTAGTGCCCGTCTTGGGTGACAAATGCAGTCAGCGGAATTGACTCCGGGGACATTGGAATTTGGTAATAACCCGAAAATAAGTCGAGGCTTGTGAAGAATTTTGCACCCGATAAGCTTTTTAATTGTTCTTCGATTAAAGGCAAAGGGTACTTATCAGGTACTGTTATTTTATTAAGTGGACGGTAGTCGACACATAATCGCTTGTCACCACCCTTTTTATCCACCAAAAGCACCGAACTAGCATACGGAGAATGAGACTCCTGAACGATCCCATTTTCCAGTAATTCATCAACCATTGTTCGAATTTGTTCCCGTTCATGATCAGAAAACACACGAGGCCGTCTGGCAACAGGCTTATCAGTCGTTAACGTAATTTTCATGCCCTGAGTGTTTACGTGCCCTATTTCGGACAAATTTTTGGCGATACATTTCGTGTATTTATTTAAAAGCATTAAGAGGGCATCGATTGTTTGTTGATCTTGAACTACAACATTAATGAGGTTCTTTTCGATAGTATTTATTTTTAATCCGATTGAGTCACAATCTTGAAGTGGAGAGTCGTAAAAGTTTAACCGATTTCCGACTTTAGTATAACAGACGTCGTAATTTTCCGTGAAGTTTTGGCCAATTAGTAATTCGACACCCATGACACATCGGTCGACTACATACGCCTTAATAATTCTTTGCACGCCATCAATATTTATAAATTCACGGACAAATCCAAGGGGAGCAATCGGAGGCCCATCTGACAATGTTGTCAGAAAAACAGCTCCATCCAAAGCCATTTGTTTTAATCCAAATTGCTCAACAGCATTTTTATGTACCAGTGAACATTCACTGCCGAAATCGACAAAACATTTGACATTATGACCGGCGAAAATTATGTTTTTGAAAAACTTTTCATTTGTGTCGGACCCTAGAAAATTAATATTTTCCGTTTTGTACGGTTGATTGGGACACTGGCGCTTTTTGTGCCCCTCTTGACCGCAATCATAACAAAATATTGTTTGCTTACGTTTGGTGGGTGAAAACTTTTGCACGCCACTGGGACCAGCCACTTGGTGCGATAACGCTCGCGACATTGGTGCTTCTCGTTTTACACTCTGTATCGGTACATGACGCAACTCAAGAGTTTTCAGGTGGCTCGCCAAAACATGGGGATCTCGTATACCCGCATTTTCGATAGAAAATTTAATTTGTTCGTCATCGATGGCGCCTATTATTAAACTAACTTTATCTTCGTCTTGGAGAGGTATTTTAAGTTTGTTAATTAAGGCGAGTTTTTGAAATGTGTACTCGTACAGAGTTTGACCCGACTGAGGAACACACGCCATCATTTCTTGTATTAATTTATACAAATTCCGCTTAGGGCGAAAATTTTGTCGCAACATAACTTTCCACTCATTCCACGTAAAAAGTCGTGTAGGTAATGCCCGATACCAGACCTCAGCAGGTCCTACCAATTTATTGAGGGCCAAATGACAGATCGTTTTGTCATCCCACCGATAAATGTGCGCAAATTCATCGACAGAGTCTAGCCACTCTTCGATATTATGACAAAGGGGGTTAAATTCTCCAATGACAGCATTCACTCCAGGAGTAACACTTACCGTCTGAGTACCTTCTCTTACCCCCAGATTTTCACCAAGTTTGCTCATACCCTCAACAATTGCCTCGCCCAAACGGGACACAGTTTCGCTAATTCCGAAGCGGCTCCTGCGTTCCCGGCGCCGACTGCGTCGCTCTGTCGCTGACTTTGACCGACCTTTTCCTTTGGGACCATGACGATGGGACGGGCCTTGTTCTCCAGGTCCGGTTCCCTGGTCGCCACTTCGACTTCGAGTGCGACTACGACGACGACTTCGTCGATGACGTTTCTCCTTAGCACGCCTAGGTTCGTCATCAACCTCAGGTGTTCGTTCTTGTTTTTTCGGCATGGTCGTACTTTCGCGTTCAGAACAACCACAAACTATCACAAAGCACTAACTTATAATCTGTTGTCAGGTCTTTTATCCCACTTCTGATGTTAGCTTGTTTTTCCCCAAATTTAGAAAAACACAGCGTCCAAAACAAATTCTTTATTCTTTTACTACGTATCCCGTACAAGCTCAGCTACTGAATGACGCCTCCACCAGTCCGTGGTAGTTTCCTTGCATGCCTCTTGACCTCGCACCGCTTCTCATATTCCCAATCGCACGATGCTCAGCACAAGCTCAGCCTTGAGTGGCGACGTCCAGCATAAGCGGCGCTAACATTTATAATGGGGTGCAGGGCGCGAAGCGCCCGTGTGTACATTAAAAAGTCGACATTACCCCTCCACGCGTTGGAGACTATAAAAATTAGGTCATGCTAACAACGGGTGCAATTTTTGTATATTTATATCTATTTTTCTTGGTGCGAGTTCATTTGCGCCAAGATGGCCCGCGTCAAGATGGCTTGCGCCAAAGTGTACCTGCGCCAAGTTGGCTTTGCGCCAAAATGTCTCGCGCCAAGTCGGCCGCGTCGAATTGTCCTAGACCGATTTTTGATGTATACTTGCAGTGTTTTTCTGTGTCATTTATGAAGACTATTAAAAGAAATGGCCCTAAGGCTGTGCCCTGGCTAGCACAGTCTGTTTGCGTCCGGAAAGATTGAATCCATCTACTTATAAGTTATATAAGTAACACGAAGCTGTGTTAAAATTCGTTTTTTGTACGATAAAATAGTTTTTTTGTTATCAGTCTAAACTTTACGTACTATATTATACCTGTTTTAAATCTCATAAAAATCCCTTCAAAAATACCTGAGTTATTACACCCGAAAATGTTACGTGGGACACCCGGTATATTTTACAGAAGAATTCTCGTGTGTCATTATTTTTCGTTATTTGCCAGTTATTTACAACTTTCGGTTAAAGTTTGGTCACCCATACCATCAGAATACATTGTGTTCACAAAATTTACCAAAGTAAGCCAATATAGTGTCAAGATTACGGTGGACACGGTTGGAATACAGGAGAATAAAAGCACTCAGGCCAGAGATACCGCTATAAAGCTCGTTTTAAGCTCATTATTTTCGGGCATAAAGTTTAATCAAAACTAATTAGGATGTACAAATTCATCAAGGTCTGCTGTGTGGTGAGCACTACGACAACTAGATTTAATAGGCTGATAATTGTAAAGAGGTGTCAGAACATGAGCGTCCGTGCATGAACTAATTAATGTATATTATAACGTAATTATTACTTCTCAAGCACAAGTTTGCATAATATATTATAATAACATCCATTTGGAGAGTGGCTAATTTCAAGTTTGCTAGAAGTTTGATGGTTGCTAAAGTGAAACAGTAGCTCATTCATTTCTTCTATGAAACTAATAGATTAATTATTGTCAAATTTTAGGTGTGTTTTGAGAATATTGTATAGACGGTAAAACACTAACCAAAATTTGTTTGATCACCACGATCGGACAGCAGACGGTTTGATCTCCAAATTGTCTAAGTAAATCCTGAAATTTTGCACACTGTTCAAATTTAGAATTTTTCTGCTCAAAATACCCACACTAAAGATTAAGATACAGGTTAACAATTTAAATTTAATTGTTGGAGGAGTTTACATTCCCCCTACATCTGATATTAACATTTATCGGAACCACGTGGCCGATTTAGAATCTATATTTAATCAATTTCCTGATTTTGCATATGTTATAGCCGGTGATTTCAATCTTCCACAACTTATCTGGAGTAATGACAGTTGTACCAATAGTGAATTAATGGGTTCTTCGAGGGATTATTTTGATGTGATGAATAACATAAATCAAGTAAACAATATTCCAAATAATTGAAACGTGTTTTTAGATCTCGTTTTTACGAACATTCGTGATTTGCAAGTTTCATCCGCAGTCGATCCTATTTTTGCTGAAAGCTATCATCATATTCCTTATTCGTGGTCTATTTTTTATATTCCGTCTTCAAAAAAATTATCTTCACAAGCCAATGTATTTGATTTTGCTAACGGTGATTTTCAACAGTTAAATTACTTTTTAGCCTCTATTAATTGGGTCAATCTTTTTTCTGGTCTTGAATTAGATGATATGGGTACTGCTTTTTATAATGTTTTTTTTTTTGGAATGGACACATATATTCCTAAGAAAAGGGCACAATATTTTTCATCAACTTATCCCCGATGGTTTAATAAAGAGTTAAAAGATTTGTGTCGCCTTAAGAAAATTGCCCATTCAGTCTTTAAGAAATCTGGCAGATATGATGGCTATGAATATTTTAAAATCTTAAGGACCCACTGTAAAGAACTTAACGAAAATCTATATAATTCCTACCTTTCTAAAGTCAGCAACAGCATTACGAATAATCCACAGTTCTTCTGGAAATTCATTAATGATAGGAAAAAAAGTAGTGGTATTCCTTGTGAAATGCAATATTTCCAGAAGTTTGCCAAAACTGGCACTGAAATTTCCAATTTGTTTGCGGAGTTTTTTTTCCTCGGTTTACGTAGAAGACGCCAACAATGATTTTGATCAAGAATTTGATGGTATAAATGAAGTACCTGATTCTGGACTGAAAGTTGAGTTATCAGAAGTTTTTGAAAATATCGCTCGTCTTAAACATTCTTTCCATCCTGGAGCTGATGGCATTCCAAACGTTCTGCTGAAGAACTGCATTTACACAATTACAATGCCCTTGTGTGAACTTTTCAAAGTGTCTTTGTCTCAGGGTAAATTTCCTAAGGCCTGAAAAAATAGTTACGTTACACCTATTTTTAAATCTGGGGATCGTAATAAGATCGACAATTACAGAGGTGTTTGCAATCAGTCTACCATTCCTAAAATATTTGATTCCATTGTAGCCAAACAATTGGAATGGATTTCTTCTTCTATCATCTCCATCAAACAACACGGTTTCCGCAAACAAAGATCTACTAGTACTAATTTAATGGAATATTATTGTTATTTAAATGAAGCTTTTGATAAAAAACTACAAGTGTATTCCGTGTATACTGATTTTTCAAAAGCCTTTGATAAGGTAAATCATAGGTTATTATTCTGTAAATTGCGTCACTTAGGGTTTAACAATAATACCGTTAAATGGTTAACATCATTCCTGTCGGAAAGATCACAGCAAGTTAGGATTGGTAGTTACATGTCGTCTCCTTATTTGGTTCCATCAGGCGTACCTCAAGGGTCGCACTGTGGACCAATTTTGTTTTTACTGTTCATTAACGATTTAATGCGTGGCTTTCGTTACTCCAATTTTCTGTTGTATGCGGACGATTTGAAAGTATTTAAAACTGTTAGTTCCGTGAAAGATGCACTTGAATTACAATCAGATCTTAATATATTATACGATTGGACAGAAAACAACTTATTGCCTTTGAATGTTAACAAGTGTCTTATTATATCATTTCTTAATATCAAACTGAGGGTGAACTTAGACTATTATTTGGGTAATTCTATCTTGTCTCGTGTTGAGGAAGTCAAAGATTTAGGTGTGGTTTTCGATTCTAGATTAACATTTAAGAATCATTATTATTTTATTTTTAATAAATCAATACGGATTCTTGGGCTCATTTGGAGGCATTGTCAACATTTTTCGATTTCGACCCTTAAAATATTATACTTTTCTCTTCTTCGATCTCACCTAGTTTATTGTTCTTCCATATGGTATCCTAATTATAAAACAGATTGTGATTTATTGGAAAGAGTACAGAAAAAATTCCTTCGCTTATTAGAATTTAAACTTGGTCGAACTCATATACAGGGTAATTACACTTGGGTAATGTGTAATTTTCATATCAATTCACTCGAAACTCATCGCATAATTTCCGATATTTCATTTCTTCGAGGACTTATTAATGGTGAGATAGACAATGCCTGCTTACTAGAAAAACTATATTTCATTGTGTTGCCTGCTGATAGCAGATTGACTCGCAAACTGCGTTTAAAAATTTGATCAGGAATCTAAGCTATTTTGTAAATTCTTAATTAATAATTTTTAATTTTATTTTGCACGTATTTATTTACTATTTAATATTTAGTATACATATTTAGTTTTATAAGTTTGTTTCTTGTATTATTAATAATTTAATTAATATTGTAATAGGGGTATCCCGTTAATAAATATTCTATTCTATTCTATTCTACAATGTACAGTATACACTATAAATTACATATTAATACAGCTATTTTGGTTTTCGGGTAGGGTAGTTCAATGGAACGAAAAATAATAAGACTACCATAAAAACACTGTTTGAAATATATTTATGTTTAGAATTTACGTTCGCTATCTTACTTAATCAGTTTTAGTCCGTTTGAAAGCAAAGTAAAATGTATATATTTTTTTTATTTTCTAAACATACGTCATTCTTGTGCCTAAATTAAACTGATGAAAGAACTAATGTAATTTCATAAAAACTCTTCTATCTACACTGAAAGCTCCCATCATGTACAGCAGACAAAAAAACTCAACTTTAAAAACCGACATTAACTTAACGGTTTTTTACAAGCAATTAGCGGATCTAATTACGTTTCGTCCGGCTTAATGGAGCTCTTAAAACCCTTCTTCCTCCGAATCTGCAAAACACAAAAATCCAGCGATATGTTGTTACTAATTACGGGCACGATTTTCCACTTTTACAACCACTCTTCAGAACCAAAGCACTTTAAATGCAGTTTTGGTATTTAATTAGGGGATTTGCGTTTTCCTCCAAACACCTATTCGAATATTTAGCAGATATTTATGTGTTTTTAAGTGATTCCGACAGAGCAGTAGTTTTTTGTTTTCTTGATAGTGTTGATTACACAGCTCGACCCTTGGGATTTCGTTCGTGAAGTGATTTGTGCGTTGGTATGCTGCTTGCAAAACTTTCTGTTTCCTGGGGAATTTCGACCGTTGCGCTTAGAAAGCAGTTAAGCTTTTTAACATTTGTTTTGTTACAAACTGCTTTTAATTAAATTTGCTTTGAAAGTAGATGCGTATGTGAATTTTGTTATATTATAATCCTGTCGTAAGTGGGTGGATACGACGCAATAATTTCAGCAATTCATTTTTTTTTTTCTAACTTTGAGGTATGAGTATAATTTTTGTACATCTATATACTATTTCCAGCGATAGATTGGAAAATTTTGAATTCACAATCGCCAACCGGAGAATCCAAAATATACTAACATTATACGCTTAAAGCAGTTAAAGAGTTGTAGTTTAAGTTGGCAACCAACGTTCCTTTTCCCGCGCAACGAATTTCCTACGCCTCTATGCCTGCGCCAGTCGGCCGGTTTCGTTTAACCTGTGTTTTGGTCGATCAGCTAATTGACGTTAATTTAAAATTTTGGTTCAAAAAGTTAAAAAGTGTGTTTTTTGCGTTTAGCGTTTGTGTTTTTTTACTTGTTTTGATTTGTTAGGTATGATATTATAGACCTTTGTGCTGTTTTTTGTATAGTGGCTGAAGTTTGGACATTTTAGGTTAAGTTGTTTGTGTCAAAAAACGTTTCATATGGACCCCATGGGGGACATTACGAATAAAATTCATAATTACGCAAGAGTGAGTTGTTGATTTATTCTGTGCAATCATTATATACCATTATATTTTGTAGCCCTCTTCAACCCGGTGCAGTATGACTGTTGTTGACAACATCGTGGCACAGAAAATGATTGCCAATGCGTATTCATCTTTCAAGAAGGAAAATTTTAATTTAAGATGCCCTACAGAGGTTGTTACTTCAATATAAAGTACATACTGTTATTCGAAGTGTATGTTCCAGTATAGATAATATTGTCTGTTGGAAATAAATTGTGTTATTATTAAAAGTAATTTTACGTAGTTCAACATTATTTTCAAATTTCCTTATATTTCAAACATATTTCAAATAAAGCGCCTTTGGCACTACTTTTTATAGCGGTCTATTTGGTGACTTTTCTGTCAGCTAATCTATCGGTGGAAATACTATACCTGATCTTGTGTCCACAATGAATTCCACAGTTATTAAGACATGTACCGTGTGGTTGGCACCACTGATTTCAAAATGACATTATGTTAATCCTAAACATGTTCATCTGTCAGATATCTCACACTCACTCGAAACTGTTTGTGGTTAGTAGAACAGAAAATTATTTAATGTTAACAATTGTGGTAAACTGTGACAAACTTGCTTCAACGCTTCAACACAACTGAAAATTAAGTATTAATACAAAGAAGGGTTTAAATAATGCAAAACTGAAACAACTATGCACCAAACTTGTCGACATTTTTGTACGAGATAATTAGTAACAGTAAATCAGTAACTTTGTGCCGCCGTCGGTAGCTGTTGTTGAAAATGTTTACAAAGAACAAGTTATGACGCAAACTGAAACAGGTAGAGCCGAGTTTGTAGTTAGCTTTGGATTAAAATAGTGAGGGTTTTACTGTTGTATAAATGACATATAACGAAAATTTAAGCAGCGCTTCAGAGAAATGAACAAACGTTAGTAGTAGTTAACAAGTGCAAAAGGCCGTGTTAAGATGCTTACTTAAAAAGCAAGGAACCTTTGTTTTAGGCTTTTGTTTACGATCGTACATAAAATCGTAGAAGACAGTGATGTATTAGGCAATATATAAACAAATAACAACAATTAAGTAAATGTTAGTTCTGTGTTGTTCCCCGGTGACGTGGCCAACTCAAACAAATTTTCATTCCACTCTAATGTATTCGCCAAAACTGTATAAACATTGGTTTATTTGATAAGAAATTACACGAATTAAGGCAGATGTCTCAAATATTAACATACTCCCTCCCCAAGTTGAGGTACAAAGCTTGAATTTCGTATCTTACAAAGTTCTGTGTTATCAAAGACTGTAAATCATATTGTCAATTATACTTAAAGGTTCAGATTTCGTTTTGTCGAATCAATATTCGCCGTCACCAATTCAGGTATAGTGTAAACAAAATATTACGAGGTATACTAAGGATTACACACTATTTAATTTATTAATAGGACTGTTAATCTCTATTAAAAGACAAATAATTATCTAAACATAAGATGTGCCAGAAAAAGAAACACAAAAGACTTGTTTTGTGTATATGCCACGTGTTTCTTTTATTTGATACAACCGCCGTAATTTTTTTATTTTTAAAGATAAACATATAGTTCTTTGAGCAAATTTGTATCATTTTAAAAGATCTGAAATGTATGTGAATAAATGACATCAGCGTCAATTTTTCAAACTATTTACTAGATTGTCATCAATAAATATGAAGTTTTCGTCTATTTTATTGAATAAATTTTGAAGTATATTTTTAAGTATAAAAAATGAGGTTCTTAATTTGATCAGTAAAAAATTGTTCGAAGGCTATAAGTATAATCGGACAAATCCAGCTCTTTAAAAAAATTATAAAATTTGATTCTACAATTTTCGTTTTGTGATCATAGCTATAAAGTAAAAACCAGAGTCATAAATAACACCCCTTGTCCTTCAGCAGTAGGTAATAGCAATCTATAGCTCAAGTGTTTATTTATGTTTATACATCGAAAGAATGTCACGTAGAAGTTAGTTCGATTTAAATGGGTTTGTCTTCTCAAAACAGGACTAAAATTATTGATTAATCCACAGTCGAACAAAATGTTCTGAATATTATAATTATTATTTTTTATTCTTCACATTTTCGAGAACATGTGGTGACCCGTTCTTAATTTGACCAATAAAAAATGTGTGATGACGTCATCAACATGGATAATTCTAGTGACAGCATAAAAGAAAAGTAGTCACATCGTTATACCAATGCAAGAAAAAAAAAGGAAAGGGCCAAGTTAGGTATTGAACCATAATCACATTACCGCCGTTCGCCATTATCTCGAATACACTCACTGCGCTACGGAGACGTACGAACCGTGTCGGGAATAAAACGTTATTATAACTTGCAAATGTTTTTGCGACAATTTGAACGTTTACAAAAAAAATTAAACTGGATTCCTACACTGCAACTATATGATTTTGCATATTTTGTGTAACATTCAAATCATTTTAGAATACCTTTCATTAAAATGACGTCATCAAATTGTTGGTGGGGATGATTAGCCAAATTTTGGTTACCCTTTAACCATCTACATGATATTCCTAACATACATACAAAATTAGAAAACAATCGTTCCAGCAGTTTCGAAGATTACGTGTTTAATAATACTGGATAATACAGACAGACAGACAGACGGAAACGCGATACTGCATGTTTCGTACTGTAGGGATCATGAAACGTAGAGAAAACATAAAAGTGACTGTCGCTTAAACTCGGGAAGTAAAAAACAATACACTGACTGACTTATTGATCTCGAAGGACGAAAAAGAACTAAAAAAGACGAATAGGACGAAACGGTCCAGAAAGGACGAAAAGGTCCAAAAAGGACGAAAGGGACGAAAAGGTTCAAGAAGGATGACAAAGGACGAAAAAGGATGGAAAGGACGAGAAAATAGGAAAAGAACGAAAAAGGACGACAAGGGCGAAAAAGACGAGAAAGGACGAAAAAGGAAGAACAAGACCGAAAAAGGACGAAGGACGAAAAAGGACGAAAGACGAAAGAGGACGAAAAAGGACGAAAAGGAGGAAACAGGATGGAAAAGGACGATAAAGGACGAAAAAGGACGAACAAGGACGAAAGAGGACGAAAAAGGACGAAGGACGAAAACGGACGAAAAAGAGCGAAAAGGACGAAAAGGACTAGAAAGGACGAAAAGGATGGAAAAGGACGAAAAAGGACAACTAAGAACGAAGAAGGACGGAAAGGGACGAAAAAGGACGAAAAAAGATGAAGAGGGCGAAAAAGGACGAAAAGTACGAAAAAGGACGAACAGCACGAAAAAGACGAAAAAGGACGGAAAGTAAGTAAGTAAGTAAGTAGTTTATTTACGGAATAGAACTTTCCATTAGTACAATAAAATAATAAATAATAAGATCTTACCAACGAGAAATTAGGAAAAAGACGAGATGGGACGAAACATACGAAAAAGGACGAAAGACGAAGAAGGACGAAAAAGGACGAAAAAGGACCAAAAAGACGAAAAAGGACGAAAAAGGACGAAGGACGAAAAAGTTCGAACAAGAACGAAAAGGACGAAAAGGACGAGAAAGGACGAAAAGGTCGGAAAAGGACAACTAAGAACGAACAAGGACGAAAAAGGACCAAAAAGGACGAAACAGGACGAAAAAGGACTAAATGGATGAAAACGGACGAAAAGGTCGAAAAAGTACGAAGGACGAAAAAGGGCGAAAAAGGACGAAGAAGGACGAAGGACAAAAAAGGACAAAAATGGACGATGGACGAAAAATGAGGAAAAAGGACGAAAAACCCGAAAAAGACGAGACGGTACGAAACATACGAAAAAGGATGGAAAGGACGAAAAAGGACGAAAAAGGACAAAAAAGGACGAATGGGACGAAAATGGACGAACAGGACGAAAAAGGACGAAGAGGGCGAAATAGGATGGAAAAGGACGATAAAGGACGAAAACGGACGAAAAGACGAAAAAAGACGAAGGACGAAAAAGGACGAAAAAGGACGAAAAAAGATGAAGAGGGCGAAAAAGGACGGAAAGGGCGAAAAAGGACGAAGAGCACGAAAAGGGACGGAAAGGACGAGAAATTAGGAAAAAGACAAAAAAATACGAAAAAGGACGAAGGACGAAAATGGACGAAAAAGAACGAAAAGGACGAAAAGGACTAAGAAGGACGAAAAAGACGGAAAGGACGAAAAGAACGGAAAAGGACGAACAAGGACGAAAAAAGATAAAAAAAGACGAAAAAGGACAAAATGGACGAGAAAGCATGAAGAGCACGAAAAAGGGCGAAAAACAACGAAGGACGAAAAAGGATGAAAAAGAACGAAATGGACGAACAGGACGAAAAGGATGGAAAAGGACGAAAAAGTACGAAATATACGAAGAGAACGAAAAGGATGGAAAAGGACGAAGAGGATGAGGAAGGACGAAGGACGAAAAAGGACGAAAAAGGACGAAAAAGGACGAAGGACGAAAATGTACGAAAAAGAACGAATAGGACGATATGGACGAGAAAGAACGAAAAGGACGGAAAAGAACGGAAAAGGACGAAAAAGGACAACTAAGAACGAACAAGAATGAAAAAGGGCGAAAAGGTCGAAAAAGTCCGAAGGACGAAAAAGGACGAAAAAGGACTAAGAAGGACGAAGGACAACAAAAGACGAAAAAGGATGATGGACGAAAAAGGACGAAAAGGACGAAAGAGGACGAAGGACGAAAAAGACGAAAAGGACGAAAAAGAACGAAAAAAGATGAAGAGGGCGGAAAAGGACGAAAAGGGCGAAAAAGGACGAAGAGCACGAAAAAGACGAAAAAGGACGGAAAGGACGAGAAATTAGGAAAAAGACGAAAAAATACGAAAAAGGACAAAGGACGAAAATGGACGAAAAAGAACGAAAAGGACGAAAAGGACTAAGAAGGACGAAAAGGACGAAAAATACGAAGAGAACGAGAAGGATAGAAAAGGACGAAAAGGATGAAAAAGAACGAAATGGACGAACAAGACGAAAAGGATGGAAAAGGACGAAAAAGGACGAAAAAGGACGGAAAAGGACGAAGGACGAAAATGTACGAAAAAGAACGAATAGGACGAAATGGACGAGAAAGGACGAAAAGGACGGAAAAGAACGGAAAAGGACGAAAAAGGACAACTAAGAACGAACAAGAACGAAAAAGGGCGAAAAAAGACGAAATGTATGAAAAAGGGCGAAAAGGTCGAAAAAGTCCGAAGGACGAAAAAGGACGAAAAAGGACGAAGAAGGACAAAGAACAACAAAGGACGAAAAAGGATGATGGACGAAAATGGACGAAAAGGACGAAAGAGGACGAAGGACGAAAAAGGACGAAAAGGATGAAAAATGACGAAAGACGAAAAACGACGAAGAAGAACGATAACAACTAAAAGGACGAGAAAGGACGAAAAGGGCGGAAAAAGACGAAAAATTATTGAATTATTATTATTGAATTATTAACTTTATTGGTGTATAAGACATAAAACATGTTTTACACAAGTCACAAAAACCATTATAAACTTAAATACACTACATTATAGTTCACATTAAACATCATAATATAAAATACACATACATTAAAACATAATATAAATCAAGAATAACTATGGAATTGAAAGAGACGAACTACTGTCATCAGTTAAAAAATCAATGTATACTTGTCCAAAAGGTATAAGGTTATATGACCATCATAAAAGTAATTGACCGCAAATAAATACCCCCTTTGTGTGGTTCGCACTAAGCTTACCGGTTGGCAATAAATCGTCTTCTAAACATTTCTTGCTCACATTTAACAGGGCCGGCTTTCAAAGCGAGTGGTTATTTCGAAACCCTCAGCGGCTGCAGGTAGTAAAGAAATAGTGGAGTGGTGGATTTTCATAGTTAGTGAAAGCCGCCCCTGAACGAAACCACAACAGCCGGTCGAGCTGCAGTGGACACGTTATTTACGACCATAAAACCTTTTCTATTGTAAACAACTTAACTTCGACACAATGGGATGATTTTATGATGGCCATATAACCTTATAGCTCTTGGTCCACTATAGTTATAGTATGTCTTGAATTTCAAATATGCTTTCAATCTAGGCTTAAAGCGAATAAGTGGCATATCTTTCAATTCCAACGTTAGAATATTATAAAATTTGATACCATGATACGCAATACCGGTTCTAGAGCAAGTTAATCTCAATTTCTTTTGACAAATATTTTTCTCATATCTAGTACTATAATAATGGATATCACCATGTACTTCATATAAGTTAATATTTTGTTTAACGTAGAGTAAAGACTGATAAATAAATAAACTCGGCACAGCTAAGATATTTAATTCATTATAAACCCACCTACAGTCTTCTCGATAGCCCAAGCCCCTTGTAATTCTAACTGCTCGACGTTGCAGTCGGAATAGTCTGTGACAAATAGGAGAGTGATCCCAGACCAAGATTCCATATGACAAATGCGATTGAATTAAAGAAAAGTAAGCTAACTTGACTGTTTCAAGAGGAATTACGTTTACAAGGTTCCTCAAAGCAAAAATGCCTTTACATAATTTATTCGCTACAGCTTCACCATGTTCAGCCCAGCTAAGCCTGCTATTTTATGTGAATACCCAAAAATTTGGTGCTGTTTAAACTATTGCTGGAATTATCATTATTTTTTAAGGTAAACCACATCTTAATTAATTTTCTATCATTCAGAGTTAGCTTGTTGGCTAGAAACCAGGTTTTTGCCTTCAAATGTGACTCATTATAAACCGACTGTGAACCGTTTTCCTCATCTACCGCATTCACTAGGGTGGTATCATCTGCAAATTGAATGGACTGACACGATACATTCGAGGAAAAGTCATTTACATACACTAGAAATAGAAGAGGCCCCAAGACTGAGCCTTGTGGCACTCCATGATGTAAGGGTAGAGTTTTTGAGTTTAATTTAAACCAGTTTACAAACTGACGTCTATTCTCTAAAAAGGATCGCAACAGTTGGCAAGCGTTCTGATCTAAATGATATTTTTCCAGCTTCTCTATAAGGATGTCACGGGAGACACAGTCAAATGATTTTGATAGGTCTAGGAACATTGCGGCACTATGTTTTTTATTTTCAAAATTATCATAAATTATATTTGTGAAAGCTAATATAGCATCAATGGTAGTTCTTTTCTTTCTAAATCCGAATTGGTCCCCAGAAAAATAGTTGTTTTCTTCAAAAAACGAATTAAGTTGAACACCTTTTCAAAAATCTTTGAGAAAGTCGGTAATATAGATATCGGCCTGTAATTGTTCAGATCATTTTTGGAACCGTTTTTATAGACTGGAATCACTCTGGCTACTTTCAGGCAGTCCGGATATACAGACAATGAAATACATAAATTTATTAATTTTACAAGTGGACTCATTAATTATATCAGTTACAGATTTTATGATATTTACATTAATATTATAAGTGTCCATGACATTGTTATTCTTTAAGTTGTTAATTAAATCTCGAACTGATATACTAGATATCTGAGAAAATGAAAAGTAACTTGAGGTTTCTTTTGGGTAATAACGTAGTACCTCAATCGGATTTATATCAGTTGTTTCGGCTGAATTCCCTAGTTTTAATGGAATCGAGGTAAAAAACGTATTAAATTCATTACTAGTTAATTGAAAGTCATTTTCATTACAGTGTTTTATTTTATTGTTATTGCATTTTTGATTAATGATTTTCCAGGCCGCTCTTGATTTATTACTGGCATTATCGATAATTTTTTTATTATAATAAATTTGTTTTTCTTTTATTTTACTTTTGTAAAAAGGACGACTAAGGACGAAGAACGACGAAAAAAGACGGGAAAAGACAAAAAAGAACGAAAAAAAGACCAAATAGGACAAAAAATACGAAGAAGACGAAAAGGACGAAAAAGCACAAAGGACGAAAAAGGACGAAAAAAACGAAAAGGACGACATGGACGAGAAAGGATGAAAAGGATCGAAAAGGACGAAAAAGGACTATAAGTACGAAAAAAGACGAAGGACAAAAAAGGACGAAAAAAGACGAAAAAGGACGGAAAGGATGGGAAATTAGGGAAAGGACGAAAAGGACGGAAAAGGACGAAGAAGGTCGAAAAGAACGAAAAGGACGAAAAGGGCGGAAAAGAACGAAATGGACGAAAAAGGACGAAAAGGACGAAGTAGGTCATGAAAATGTACTACCTCTCAGTGTTGACCTTTACTAAATGCTCAATGATGCATAACAAAGACCACACGCATCTCTATAACTGGTTGCCTAAATGCTTCATATCTTATTAAAAAAAAAACGAATTCAATAAAATAAACAGAAACAAATTTATTGCAGTAAAACATCATAGTAATGTTCACCATTTTACTCAAGGCACGTTCACTCTTTTTTTGATTTAAAAAATGTTTTGTAATCCTTTCGTCAATACCCATTGTTCAATTTCATGTTGCAACAGAAACTCCTGACTGCTGAAGAAATGTTATCAAAAATATTTGCCGATTTTGCTCAAGTCGTCTCAAATTATAGACAACCTCCTCAGATGCTCAAGCTCTTCCAGAAAATTTTCCTTTGTCGGCACCGCCAGTTCGAACACATCTATTGATTACATCTCTAATATAAGCCCCTAACAATGTTTGTTGCGTTATTAAAGCACGGCATTTGGCCAGATATTCTTGTTTACAAGCGGTTACAGAATACACAAACTCTTCGTTTACGAATGTCCCATTGCGATAACAAGACATAACAATGAAGGTGTCTTGCTCAACAGAATAAACCATTTTCACGGTCTTCGCTTCCCAACACAAAAACAAAATTTTCGTACGCAACGATTGGATCAACGAGAATTACTGTAATTCACACTTGATAACGTTAAAACAATAAAACGATGACTTTGAATGACAGGTTACAAATGACATTAATGACAAGTGAGAACTGTCATAATAAGGCATAATTTCAGCGAAGTAGAATTTTTGAAATCCTTGGCCAACTACGTCCTTAGAATCACGTAGTCATTTATAAAAACCCTGTATATTACAAGTTAATAACAATGTATTTAAAAATTGGAGAGCCAGAGGCCGTTTTCGATCCTACTCTTCAACTTTAATATGTCACGGAAGTGAGACCATATTACGTAGTAAGAAGAACATTGTTTATTAAACAAATTAATTTGAGATAGTTCTACACGTTTCAGTCTGTAAGTTGCTGGCAGGCAGTAATATTTATTTGAGTATCATCAATTATTTTATAGTAAATGGATATTATTAATTTTTAAGTGGGAAAATTCAACACCTTAAACACTAATAAAATGAAAAAAATTAATCGAAATTCAAACATTTTCGGCAATATTTTGGAGAGAAAATATGAAACTACTTAAATACTTGCCTTTTTGTGATATGCCAGATGATATCGCTTCATATTGTAAAATTTTGGCTTTAACTCAGTTCTTCATACAATATTTTCTAATTCTTAGAATAAACGTTGCGTTTGTATCTTTTGTAACATGTAGGTGTATCACGAACTAATACGTAAATCCAAACAACCGAGAAGTAATCTTAAATGACATGGTGCCATGTCTACTGTAATTTACGGTCAAGCAGAAAATAATGGCTGCGACATTCGGCATCAACACGAAATCTGCAATGGCTTTGATCTTGAAAGGATATGTGTGACATTAGGAGCAGTCTACGTAGACAGAAATTGATTAAGACGTTCTGACTGAAATCGTTGGATCGTTCTAATGCCATTTGATATAGAAACATTTCAAACAGAAGTTTAGTCAGTCTATTCACTTAGAACCGTTTTTTGATAAAGCAAGGAACAAGACAAAAAACAATAGTAAAACACAGCTTTAGGTTGATTCGATTCTCAGCTTGTCGGTGGAATACAAAAGATGTCTGCTCCACAAGATGTAACAAATAACCGTAAAATCAAAATAACGTAAAATGTAATAAAAAACCACTTTGATGTTTCCGTTCGATCCCACATTCTTAATTTATTTGTCGGCTGATTTGATTACTGTATTTAGTCGAAAAAAGGTTTTGCTGTTTATCGAAAAATTAATAAACTCCGCCGGCTAATAGACATTCAGTGGGTTATTTTGGCTTGGATGATTATTATTCCAAGTGAAATTTTTATTCTGAGCATCGACGGAATACTAATCATTTTTACAGCTGAAATGCTTCGTGAACTGGATGCAATTACGAACAAAGATTGTGGAGTATTTATAAAAGTTTGTTATGCTTCTTTCCAGCCAAACTGGAGCACAAAAAGCTTCTTTTTTTTCAATAATGCCGTAATTGTTATTCTTTGTCTGGTGGGTTTTTGGCATTGCTTGAAACGTTATATTATAATGTTGTTTTTTAGTGGTCGAGGTTAATGGCATTAATTATAAGCTG